GCAGGAGATCCCTTAGATCTGACGTCGCCAAAAGATTGCATCATGCCCAAAAAATTCACCACCAGAACCCCGAACCCCATCCTTCTGCGAAAATTTCCGAGCCAAACCGATCTGTGAGAGCCGTTGAGCCCAAGATCGGGCGAAACCGACCGTTGCAAACACTTTGCAACGCCAGGACCTCAAGGACAAAGCAAGGACTGACCCCACCTCGCCCCGACCTTCCAGGAGGGCTGACACAATAACACCGAAACGTCGACGCCCAAATCCCCGTCGAGGCCTGAGGGCAGTCCAAAGAGGCCAATAGGTTCGGAATGCTATTTTGTAGCACTCTGGAGCTCAGTGGGCCCCGGCAACGGCAGGGCCGTTTTTTCACCGTTTCCTGAAAAATGGCCGTTGAAAATGGAAACGGCAAAAAAAGGCGACCGGAAACGGCAACAAAAACGGCTCCAGGATTGGAACCAGAGCGGGAACCCGGAAAAGAACGGCGACAGAACTGGTAACAAAAACGGCGTCGGAACCAGCAACAAAAGCGGCAAAACGGAACCGGTAAAAAAACGGCCCTATCGTTTCCAGGGCCCACTAAGATCAAGAGGGTATACCGGGCTCCCATTCGGAGTGCTATTTTGTTCGGCAGTCTAGAAAGGCCTATAGGTTCGGAGTGCTATTTTGTAGCACTCTGGACGGTCAGGGCTGGACCAGACAGCAAACGACGCCACCCTCCCTACGACCCCACTCTCGCCTTCGCATGCACTACGAATTCTGGCTCAGGCCTCTGCGTGGCTCACGCCCCGGCCCCCCAGCGGCGGTGGACAAACCTCCCTTTAGTAAACCTCCCTTTTAGTGAAGACGACCTAAAGGACCGAAACCGACGGACCTGGACCCACAAAGAAGACGGCCGCGACGCCCTCTCGCGAACCGAACACGGCCAATTCCTTGATCGACGTGTCAGGGCAGGAGGTCTATCCACCTCCGACCCGAGGGCCGTAGCGCAAAGCATGGCGGGCCGTAGGTGGTGTGGTGCCGCCTGCTCTGTTGGGCGAAGGTCTTGAAGCAGTCCAGATCCCTGTTGAGGCTTGAGGCAGTGCTGTTCTTGTAGCATTCTGGAAGGCCAGGGTGCCCGCACCCCCTGCGAAATCCCTAGGGGATGACTCAACTCCGGAGTTAAAGGCTTATAGGGGCCAGGGCACGCACCAGCAATAGACTCATTACAGCACTGCAGAGGTAAACTGTTTGGAGGCTAGTAGAAGCGCAGAACCTGAAAACCCAAACTGCCACATTACACTAGGACCAACGCCCTCTGATAATAACACCCGGGGGATGAGAAAGTTAGGGGTCCAGGAGGGATAGTAAACGATTCGCCCCAGCAAGTCGCCGACGACGACGACGAGGATGTTTTCCTCTTACTCTGAGATCCTTGGCCCGTGCTCTTGAGATTATTGCCACGTGCCCTTTAGATCCTAAAGCTTGCCCGTGTTCTTCAGATCCTTGGCGCTCCTCGCCAGGAACCTCTCTTCGTAACTTCCCCGCGCGATAACAGAAGTCCGCCCTGCCGCCCCTCCCCCGACCAACTCTCTAGTGGCCAGGGAGATTCAGCTCTCGGGGGCGAAAAAGGGGATTTGATATTTTATCCGAGGCGGCCCTTTTTCGGGGATGGGCAGACCCCCCTTTGGTAAAACGTGGTTTAGTGAAAACGACCTGGGGCCCAAACCTGGCGGGCCTCAGGAACTTTCACTCAACCACTGAGAACCGAAAACGGACAGTTCACTGATCGACGCGTGTCACTGCTGGGGGCTCTGTCCACCCCCGACTTTTTCTTCGGTGCCCGCACCCCCTTCGAGCGTGCCCGCTGACCGCCCTCCCCGACCAGCGGCCGCTCCGCCCGGATCTCCACGCCGCCGCCGCCCGCCTCCGCCTCCGCGACGGCTTGCACGGGGGGCGGGCCGCGGCCGCCGGACGGCCGAGGGCCCCCCCCCTCGAGGGGGGCCGCTGCGCGGGCCCGCACCCCGCCCCGGAGCTCCTGGCGCCGCAGCTCTTTGCACGGAGGGTGTTTGTCGGTGGACCACGGATTGGGGCGCGAGGACATCTTGGGGGGGCGGGCGAGAAGCGGGGGGGGAGGAAGGGTGCCCTTTTCGAGCTTCTGTTCTCGGGGGATTGTTGTGGGTTCGAGCTCGATGCTCTTTATTGCAGGGAGAGGGGCCAAACCCGAACGCGCAGCCCAACGCTCTGGGGGGGGACCCGGGTGAGCCCGCACCGGAAGCCACTCCCGCGAGCGACGGGTCACATTCTTGCCGTCGCTCGAACGTCCATTTCCCGTGTATTTGTCGGTGTCGTGCGTATTTGTTTGTTGCTCGATGGTCCAGGATGGTCCTCGATGGTTCTCGCCGAGAACAAAATCACACGTCCGAGCGATGCCGAGCATGTGCGTGTCACAGATCGGTTCGAGCAGGGACCGACCGCCCTGGCACTCTCACGCAGCAGGGGCCCGACCACAAAGAGACCTTCCACAAGAAGCCAAACCCTGAGATCCCAGGACGTCCTTCGACTTTTGGGCGTGAGGACATCACGCTCTCCATGGCAGAGGCCATCGGGGCCCAAGACACCCAGGGCAACCTGGAGGCAAGCAGGGTGCTTCTTGGCACGGGCCCCCACGGTATACGCCCACCGCAAAGTGTTTCTGCAACCGAGAAAGAGCAGTGCAATCACGAGATCGTGCTGACGGAGAGCAGGCCCAAGCGCCTAGCACAAGACGGCATCGGCCAACAAATGCTCCGAACGCAAACCACCGCTTCTCCACATGGCACGATAAGCGCCCCCCCCCCCCGTAAAGGCCGTTGGCGGAGGAGGAGGAGGAGGAGGAGGAGGAGGAGGAGGAGGAGGAGGAGGAGAGGGAAGAGGAGGAGGAGGAAGAGAGGGAAGAGGAGGAATAGGAGGAACAGGAGGAATAGGAGGAATAGGAGGAATGGGAGGAGGAGGAGGAGAGGGAGGAATGGGAGGAGGAGGAGGAGGAGGAGGAGGAGGAGGACGAGGAGGGGATGGGCGCGTGCCGTCGGGGTCGGGGGGGAACGGGGGGAAGGCAGCTTCGAAGAGGTCACGCTCCTGCTTGGACTCCCGCAATGGGCACGGAAAGAATGGGCACGAGGCCCAACAGCAGTCCCTCTTCATTTTGGGCAGGACTCGCTGTCCCCCCGTTTTGCTATCCCCCTGTTTTGCTATCCCCCCCTTTCGCCGAGTCTCACCCCCCGTTTTGCTATCCTCCCCTTTCGCCCGGGCCGATCCATCCAGCCCTCTGCTCCCAGGATCTGCACGAGCGAAATGGGCACGGAAAGAAGGGGTTCAATGCCCAACAGCGGATATGGTTCATTTTGAGCAGGACTCGCTGTCCGCGCCGCCGCGGCCTGTGTCCATTCGAGGCAGGAGGCCGCCTGCCCAACAGCGGCCGCGGTTGGTTTGGGACAACATTTGTTGTTGGGCAGTGTACCCATTTTTTCCGTACCCATTTCCGGCGTCGAAGTCCTGGACCAAGGGGGGGGTGGGCTTGCCAGCGTCGGCAGTCTCCGAGGGGGGAGGGAGCGGGGTCTCTCCGCTCGAAGATTCGTCGCCGACCCCCAATTTGGATGGATGTCATCCGGAGTAAGCGTGCGCTCAACGCCATTTTGATCAGGGATCCGCCGTCCCGGCCTTCCTATAGGCCTACCACGACATGTTCCTAAAACCTAAACATGTTCCAATAACAAAGACAGGGTCCTGATAACACGAACCGACGTGCCAAAACAGGACAGCCCCAGCCAGAAATGGTCTGCGAACATGTCGTGCAGGCCAAAAATACAAGTTCTTAGAACATCGCTTGGTGGCCATCAAGGCCAGGATGCTTCGCCACTGCTTGACTCTTTTGGTTGCCCTCATGGGCAAGTTCCTGGGCCAGGGGGCTGGCTAGCGTCGGCAGTCTCCGAGGGGGGAGGGGGGGGCGGGGGCACGCTTCCTTCGAAGATGAGTCGCCCCCCCTCCCCCCACGATTTTATGCCATCAGGAATACAAGTTCGCTCAACACTCTTCTGGTGGCCCTCATGTTAGGCCGGGTCTGTCCCCCTACAGGCGGATTATGGGCGAAACATTGAACATACTCAAAAACAGGCTCCAAGAATGTTCAAAAATTGTAGAAAAGCGTCCCCAGACTATTTTTTGACCATTTTTGAATACCCCTCCAGTAGAAGGACAGACCCGACTGAACCCTCATGGGCAAGTCGGGGCGACTCGCCACTGCTCGACATGGGCAAGGGGCGCTCCCGCCCGCTGTTTGGACGCCCCAAATGGGTACGGAAAGAATGGGTACACTGCCCAGCAACAAATGTTGTCCCAAACCAACAGCGGCCGCTGTTGGGCAGGCGGCCTCCTGCCTCGAATGGACGCGGGCCGCGGCGGCGCGGACAGCGAGTCCTGCTCAAAATGAACAGGAACTGCTGTTGGGCATCGTAAGGACCGCACGAACCCTGGGCACCGGCAGTCCCGCGCGGGAGGGTCTCGCCGAATCGCCCCACTGGGACCGCCGAGGGGCGCGAGGGACTGCAGCTCAAACGCATGAGCTCACACACCTGTTGGGTGTTGTACCCATTCTTTCCGTACCCATTTCGCTCGTCACGACGCTGGGCCCGTTTCCGGCGCCCTGCGGTTACGTCGGGCCTGTCCCCCCATAGGGGGATTTTCGACGAAGAATAAAAAATACCCCATTTTTTGTTTTTTTTTTGTTTTTTTAAAAATTGCCTGGGGACTATTTTTTGAATATCTGTATGACCTTTTTGGGATATTTTTGGATGTTTTATTTCTCGTCGAAAAAACCCTGCGTGTGAAACCCGCGTGCGGCCGCCTGCTCGCTCCTTCCTCGCTTCACGACGTGAAATCTACCAAAAAAATACACCAAAAAACAATCAAACAATAGTCCAAAAATAGTATGGGGACTATTTTTGGAATTTTTTGTTTATACTCTTTTTGGGAATCTTTGGGGGGTATTTTTGATCTTTCGTGGAAAATCCCCCTGTAGGGGGGACACGCCCGACTTCACCCTGCGGCCCTGCCCGTGGCCCCGCGGCCCGCCGGCGGAGGTCGTCGCTGCCGGCCACGCGCCGGCCCGCCGCGTGGGTGATCTCGTCGCCCGCCTGGAGCCCCGCCAGTCCTGGGAGCAGATCTGGACACCCGAAATGGGCAGTCGTGGCGGAGCGAGGGCGAAACGAGGTGAAGACTGGTAGAGGGGGCCGCTGCGGCGGACTTGGAGGGGCCCTGGGGCGCCCAGATAAGTGGACACAGATCACAGGATTCCGCCAGTCCTGTTTGGACGCGGGATATGGGTACGGCATGCCTGCGAGCACCACTCGAATGAATGCCTGTCAGCACCACGGCCCGCCCCTGAACATCTTGGACTCCCGACATGGGCACTCCAAATCCCTCATGAATCGTCCCCCGGGTCCGGTTTTTTCTAAGGCACCTTTTTCGTAACTGGGGCGTCCGGTTTACTAGGGCGCTTTCTTTGGATTGGAGCTTAGGGGTCCGGTTTATTAAGGAGCCCCGTCGAAGAGGGGGGTCCGGAATATCAGGCCGCATTTGGAGGGGGGTTCAATTTTTAAGCGGGGGATCGATGAATAAGGGATGTGGAGTACGGAAAGAATGGGTACAATGCCCAACAACAAATGTTGTCCCAAACCAACAGCGGCGGCTGTTGAGCAGGCGGCCTCCTGTCTCGAATGAACACAGGCCGCGGCGGCGTGGACAGCGAGTCCTGCTCAAAATGAACAATATCCGCTGTTGGGCATTGAACCCCTTCTTTCCGTGCCCATTTCGTGCGTGCAGATCCTGGGAGCAGAAGGCTGGATGGATCGGGCCGGGCGAAAGGGGGGATAGCAAAGGGGGGGGTGAGAATCGGCGCACGTAGCTGATGTTTTCCCAGCGCCTCCCGGCGCCGGGAGGCGCCCATGTATGCAGAGGAATGAGCCCGGCGGCGGGGCCGAAACCAGCTGCACGCAACAGATTTCGTAACCCCCCCTTTCCCTATCCCCCCCTTTCGTCCGGCCCGAATAGGCCTCCTATAGGTGGGGTCCGAGTAGATGGGGTCGGAAGATCGACAAGCATCGCCGATGCATCGGCGACGCATCGGCGATACATCGGGGATGCACTGGCGACGCATCGTCGACGTCGGCGATGCCTCGGCGACGTCGACGTGAAGCCAATCGGGCTCCACATCGAGCCGCATCGGCAATGCATCGGCGATGCGGCGCGCTCCTCCGAATCTGGGGGGCCTGGAGGGCAGGAGCCCCCCTTCTGTCAGGGGGGCAACTGCTGGGAGGTCTTCGTCGGAAGGACCTAGGGCAAATAATTAAGCCACTTATTAGCGTCTTCTTACTCGGCGTTCAGACATTGGTCGGAGGGGGGGGAGGAGGGATGGTGGCTCCGACCCTCTGCTTAATGCGACTGCTTAGACAGTGCGCCCTGTGGGTGTGGGGGGCTCCATCTGCTTGAAACAGGCGCCCAAACCAGCCAAGATCTACTCCTTGGAGGGGGGGGAAAGGGGGCGGCGCGAGGGCCCGCGCACATCCGCAAAACAATTGACTCAAGCACGATCACCACTGGGAGGCAGCTCCGCCAGACCAGGCTGTGGAGGAAGCGGGATTGAGCTGAAGTGAGCGGGATCAGGCCAAATTGGCCGGGACTAGGCCGGATTAAGCCCGATTGCGACCTGGGCCGGGGGGGGGGGATGGGAAGGAGGAGGAGGAGGAGGAGGAGGACGAGGAGGACGAGGAGGAGAGGGGGGGGAGGGGGAGGGGGAGGAGGAGGAGGAGAGGAGGAGGAGGAGGAGGAGGAAGAAGGAGGGAGAGGAGGAGGAGGAGGAGGAGGAGGAAGGGAGGAGAAAGGAGGAGGGAGGAGAGAGGAGGAGGCGGAGGAGGAGGAGGAGGAGGAGGAGGGAGATGGAGAAGGGGAGGAGGGAGGGAGGAGGGAGGGGAGGAGGGAGGAGGGAAGTTGCACTGACCCCCGTCGTAAGGCTCCCGAACCCAGAACAGGCGTGTACGTCCGGCGCCCTCCGCAATCCTGGCGGCGCCGAGGCCACCGCGGCGCCCAGGCGGCCGTCCCGCGCCCGCACGCCCCGGAGGTCTGCGGCGCCGAGCGTGAGGCGGAAGGCCCGCGTGCGCTGACGCCCCCCGCAGTACAGGCGCCTCTTGGCCTCCTGTCTGTGAAGGGGCCCTGGGACACACAGGTACATACACACAAATGAGAGGATTCCCCATATGATTCTCCTATCTTTTCTGGGTTCTTGTCTTCCCCCCACTCCCCATAATTTCACATATGTTCTGTGAATCGCCGATGAACTGTGTCTGTGTGTGTTGTTTTTCCCTCCTGAGTCTGGGCGGACGACAGGGTAGAAGGTCCGGAAGGGCTGTGGTATCAAGGAGCGTGCACCAATCGTGGACATGGCAATGCGATCGACGATTGAGGACATCGCCAGCTTCGGCATCGCTGCCACACCCCTTCACACCACGCCCCATTTCCCACCTCCAGGAAAGGGTAGGGTAGAGCATCGGCTCGCGTGGCTGGTCTTCCTGGCGCCCCCAAGGGCTCGGAGGCGCCCAGGTATCGAGCAGAGGGCCTGGCGACGTGGCCGAAGCCAGCTGCACGCAGCATACTTCGCCCCACCCCCCTTCCCTATCCTACACTTTTGGAGGCCTGGAAATTGGCACCAACGCCAGCCCAGGGGGGGGGGGGCCTCCATAGGGGGAAGATGACCCTAGATTTCGGCGTTGGTGACAATGTTTCAACCACCCTGGAAGCCAGAATATTACCACCATCACCGAGATCAGGATCGTCTTCGCTCGGTGGAGGCACACAGCCGATCTTGGTGTTGGTGTCAACCTCTAGGCCTGCGATTTTGTCTGGCCCGATCCTGGCTGCTCTCGCCCTTGTCGGCGGCGAGCCAAGGGGGGAAGTGCGTCGGCTTCGCGTCGTGTCGACCCTGGCGTTGGTTCCTGACACCGCGAGGATTGTCTAGGATTGAACGATGGGCCGTTTGAGAAACGCCAGATCTTTCAACGCTGGGCCTATTGAAAACCACGGGCGGCGTTCAATATTGAACGCCCGTGCTGGGGTCGCCGCCTGTCGACACGACACGAACCTATCGCAAGAGGGGTCAGGCCTGCTCACAGGGCGGCGGGGCTTCGCAGGAACCGTCGCGCCGTCTGAAGAGCCTTCTGCGCCCTCTCCGAAGGCAGACAGTGCATCTCAGAAGGCGAGAGGGCTTCTGAGAAGCCACGCCTTCTGATAACGCCTTCTCCTTCTCATGGAGGAGGAGGGGGAGGAGGAGGAGGAGGAGGAGAAGGAGGAGGAGGAGGAGAAAGAGGAGGAGGAGGAGGAGCAGGAGGAGGAGGAGGAGGGGGAGGAGGAGAAGGAGGAGGAGGAGGAGGAGGAGAAAGCCCGTCCTCTCTCACTTCCCCCTGGGCTCGCCGTCGACCTTGGGCCTCCAGAGAATCGCCTCCCTCAGCAGCGCCTGGGCGTCGTCCTCCGCGCCGTGGCCGCACGATGGGCTGGTGTCGGCTCGGGAGCTCCGATTGGCCCTCCTCCTCCTCCTCCCCCGCCTCCGCCTCCGCCTCCGCCTCCGCCTCCGCCTCC